AAACCCATCTTTTCCCATAGTTCATGTTTTCTAGATCTCTGCTCATTTTTGTTGTTCTCCTCTGGACTCTGTCTAACTGATCCACATCTTTCCTGAAGTGCGGTGCCCAAAACGGGCCAAGTGCTCTAGCGGAGGCCTTACCAGTGTCGAGTAGAGCGATGGATTTACCCCACGGTTTTTATATAGGACATGCCTGTTCATGTATACCAGTGCAGTGCTGATTTCTTCCACAAAAGAAGTACATTGCTAATTCATATTTATTTTGGGCTCTGCTGAAACCCCTGTATCAGGGTCAGCATCCTATGGTCTCTGGGTCAGATCCAGCCCACCAAATGTTGTCATCCAGCCCATGGAGCTGGGACATTGGTGGCAATTCTGCGTTGAGTCAGAGAGGCTGCTGGTTGGAAGCACAGTGCCAGGTTGGAGTGGCTGCTGGGTTGGAGGCTTGCTAAAATGGAGATGCAGCACAGCTACTGCTTCTCCACCATCCACAAGGTCTGTTACCCCGTCCCAGTAGTAAGTTTGATTGGTTTGACCTGAGTTGCTAATGACAAATCCACTCCGGCTGTTTACTTATGTTGTTTTCTAGGTGCCTATAAATAGATTACAAAGATTACAATTCAGTTACAAGCAAGATTAGAAGCTTATACATTGAACTCGGTGACTGTACATGTGCGGGACTCAAGCTGCATGTCAACATGTACCCATGATACTGCTCGCCAGCCTTCACTTCCACACTTTAAACGGTTGAGGTCCATGTACTCCCTGTCCAAGCACAATGCGAACAGGAGGGTTACTGTCCTGTGCAAGCTGCTTTCCACCCAGTACAAGTATAGAAAGAGATTTCTTTTTGTTTTCTTGTCTGATGATATTCATGGATGGTACAGGGACAGGCTGGGACATCCACATGAACCATCTGAAAATGGAAGGGTGGGGATGTCATGAAGCTGAGAGCTGTTGCACTAGCCTGTGTAGGATTCCTGTCTATTTTATGGATTACATAGTGCAAATCATTTCAAATACAGTACATCATGCTAGGTGGGCAACAAGATGTTTGATTATCCACTTTGGCTGCGTACACACATTCACATCGTCCAGGACAGCGCTCCCAGGTTTGTTATCCTGAGAGAAAAACTTACCTGTACAGAAATTCAGATGGAGAAGCAAAAAGCCACCACTGCGAATGCTGGGCTGCCCAGGGTCCCTGGTGCATGTGGCCCAGACTGCTTTGTAGGCTTCTTCTTTTTTTTTTTTTTTAATGAATGTAGGCAGAGATCGTCAGGGTCAGCGACAGTGGGGGTGGGGTCTGTGCCATGCACAGAAGGGTCCTCCAGCCTTTCCCTTTCCCATGCACTTTGCCACGAGTGCTATGCTGTGTTGGAGCCCAGCTAAGGCTGAGCGGGACATATGCTTCCCTGCACTGCACCCAAGTGCTGCAGCATGAGTCAGGCAGATAACAAGCCAGGAGCAGAGCACACCCCTTGGCAGTTCAGCACTGCACTTTTCCAGCCCAGAGCATTCGGTGAGACCGGTTCTGCTCCCTGCTTGGCTGAGACTGGCACACGCTTTCCCTCCCCTGTGGGAGGAGGTAGAAGCAAAGCACACTGGGATTGCAGAGGTCGGTTTTATGTCCGCTGCCTGTACAAAAGTTATGTCTCTTGAGACATATTCTCTGGCAAGCCCTTTCACTCGGGTTGTTCCCAGGTTATTTTTCTCCCCGAGTGGCCACTTTTACGCTGGGAGAGAAATTACAAAGCTCTGTACATTCGTAGTTTGTCCAGAGAGAGCAGTGAAACCGAATATCTGTCCAAGCCCTTTGTCAGGAAGCCATCAAGTTTGAGAAGTGGTTTCACAAAGGCAGGATAACCTCACAACCTATACTCCTTCCGGGGTTTATCAGCGTCCTAGAAGACTTAAGCAGGCATGCACAGGTGAACAATTGCAAGAGGTCAGTTAATTGATCTGGGTTAAATTCATACTGTCAACAAGTCATTCCCATGATAGACTTGTTTATAATGCTAAGTGAGCATTTTTGAAGAAGGCTTCATTACGAGGTGCCTTTGGTTGGTGTTGGTCATTCTCATAGTTAAAATGATTGTAAGTCAGAGGCTAGGAGACCTGGTACCAAAATCTATGCAACTATCCCCAGTGCTTTTTTGCCTGCCTGCACATAATGGCCCAGAACTAGAATCATAGTCAGAGAAAATGAGGGTTGAGGGGACCTCAGGACATCACTTCTCGTCCAGCCCCCTGCTCAGAGCAGGACCAGCCCCAACTACATCATCCCGGCCTAGGCTTTGTCTACCTGGGTCTTCAAAACTTCCAAGGATGGAGATGCTACCACCTCTCTGGGTGACCTGTTCCAGTGCTTTACTCCCCTCACTGAGAGAGTTTTTCCTAATCTCTAACCTCAACTTTCCTTGCTGCAGCTTGAGCCCACTGCTCCTTGTCCTGCCATCTGTCCCCACTGAGAACAGCCCAGCTCCACCCTCTTTGCAGCCCCCCTGCAGGGAGGTGAAGGCTGCTATTCAATCCCCCTCGGTCTTCTCTTCTGCAGACTCAATCAGCCCAGTTCCCTCAGCCTCTCCTCATAAGCCATGTTCCCCAGCCCCTGAACCATTTTTGTTGCCCAACACTGGGCTCTCTGGTACACGGGAGGATAGTCCTGGCCAGTGTCACTTGTACCAGGGACCTCCTGGACTTTGCCAGGCTGAGGTGGGCCCATTCCTCTGTGCTGGTCTGGCACATGGAGCTGCCCATATTTCCTATGCCCTGCCATTTATTCCAGGAGGTCAAGGCTACCACCTACATCCAGCAGGTCTTATGTAAGGGCAGTCCCTGCCTGATCACATCCCCCAGCCCTCCAGAGCTTGTTGTGGGGTCCTTGCCTTCCCAGGCGCCTCAGTGCTCTTTACTGCACTTCTTCAGTTGGATACTTCAGTAGGGTGGGGGATGTGAAACCAGTCCACCTCCAGACAGCCCATAGTCTCCAGGTCTACACACTCATGTTCCATACCAAACCACCCAGACACCAAATGGTGGGACACTTTCACTGAGGGTGAGGGTCCCTGGTGGACCTGCCTATATTCCTCTTTTATCCCATGAGTCACTGGGGATCTAGGCTGGCAGCTTGTTGCAGAGGTGTCAGTGCAAGTATGTACCTGGGTGTAGGTTGTAGCCGTGTTGGTCTAAGGACATAGGCAGACAAGGTTCCTTGGGTGAATCTGATATCTTTTATTAGACCAACCCAAATAGTTGGAGAATAGTTATTAAGCGAGCTTTCGGGTTCAAAAACCCTTCGTCAGGCTAAGGAGGTTTCAGCAGTTGGTGTGTGCTCTTCCTGGATGGAATGACAAGTATGTACCTGGCACACTTTACAGACTCTTCTGTGGTCTGAGGGAAACCCTGGAATACAGCTACCTCAAGTGCACCAGGCTTGAACCATTAAAAGTCACAGCCGAGATGGTATTAGTGGAGGGAGTCTTTGGCATCAAGTACAGGATGGATGGGAACCTTTACAGTCTCTCCCACCTCTGACCCAAAACCAAAGTTACTTTGGCCTCGATTGTAGAACTTCATTATGCCGACGATCGTGCTGTCATTGCACGTGCTGAGGAGGACCTACAAACAGCCCTAAACTGCTTCTCTCAAGCATGCCAGTGCCTGGGACTGAGCCTTAGCGTTGGCATACTCGAGTCCTCACCAAAGCTAACACCACCAGTATGGAAGTGTTGATTTTTCAGCATCAGGCGCTGTGGATGAGGCACTGTGTGCACATGTCTGATGTTCATATACCAACACAACTGCTTCACTCCCAACTCGGCCAAGGACAGAGGACATGCGGGGGCCAGAGGAAATGCTTCAAGGACACCCTTAAGGTGAACATTAAGATGTGTGGCATTAACGCCACAAATTGGGAAAAACTAGCTTGGGACAGGGCCACGTGGCAATGCCTTGTGAGAGAAGGCACATCTTATTTTGAGGAAAACCATTTTCCCCTGGAGGCAGAAAAATAACAGAAACAGAAGGAAAGGAACCAAGACCGAGAAATCTGTGGTCCAGCCCTCCCTTTAACCACTACCTGTGGCATCTGCCAGAGAGTCTGGCCTTCTTAGCCATCAGTGCACTCATTTACCACCCTTTATTTGACCCGTGGGAGTGATCATCCTCCACTGTGAGGGACTGCCACTGCCAAGTGGGTGCAGTACTTAGGAGAAGACTAGCTTGCTATCTCTGCCGCTTCATCTCTACAGTCGTTAACTAGATGTTCAGTGAATGGAGCGGTAGAGAAGGCATCATGTAAATGAGGTTTTAAAATGGCAACGCTCATCACCATTGTCGCCCTGCTTTACCTCTGGCAGGTGAGGGGGCCGTGCCTCCTGGCTGTGCAACAAGGTTGATTGTGTAGTGCTAGGTGGTTTAGATAAGAGGTTAGCTAATAGATTTGTATAGGATGGTTTGGATAGGGATGACCTTGTCTTAAGCAGGGTGTTGGACTAGGTGGGCTCTGGAGGTCCCCCCTCAGTTCTACTTTTCTATGATTTACAGGGGAAAAAAATCTAGATCATTTTCCTAACTCTTAAGATGTTTTTATTCTAATCGTTTGTCACTGTGACGCTTATACAAGTTAATCCTTTTTTCTTTTAAAAAAAAAAAAAATGTAGTCCCCGTTCATTTATAGTTAGATTACTTTAATGTCAAAACTCTTGTGCTGGCAAGAGAGACCTTACAATTGTTCACTTCAGCTGACTTTTATATACACTCATGGGTTTGCTAGGTGTGAATTATTAAGCTGTCTTAAATTCACGCCAGTTTATATTATGTTATTAATGTTCATGTCACTGAAGAATTTTCCTGTTCTTATGGGTGGGGAAGTGGGAAAATCTAATGGAGACTATTGCTTCGCTACAGACATTTATTGAAATTATTTTGGCAGGTGAGTGGAATATTAGAAAAAAGATTTAAAAAATAAATGTGAATATTTTTATTGTTATTTAAAGGGGCCCAAAATTTTGATGTCATCAGACTTTCAACATATCGGACAGCCTGCAAGCTGAGATTTGTGCAAAAGAGATGCAATCGTAAGTCATAACTATGCCATGTTTCATAAGCAGCTTGATTAGTACCTATTTTCTTTTTATTTTGACAATATATCACCAAAATGAACTTACTCCTGCAAGATTGTAGACTGTATTCCTGTTTGTAAATCTAATTCGTCCTCTTTTGAAAGCCTCAGCTACTGTCCCTGGTAAGTTTGTCCTGGGTGCCTTTTTGGGGCAAATCCAAGTATGCTGCATCTTTAATTAACAGTTCTGGTGCCTCAAAGAGGAATCCTGGATTCTCCAGTCCCTACTTCACACAGGATTATGTGCTGCGTTAAGAACTGTGTTCCTTCCTCTTCTTTATTTATAGTAATATCTGTAGTTGTCTGGTTATTTTTTTTTATTTTTATGAGGATTGAAGGAAAGAAGGCAAAATCATCTATTGAGCCACACTTCTTTCCTAAATAATCTCCAGCTTTTGATCTCAGTTACTTTGAAGTAACTTTAAGTCCAAATCACAATGAACACATTTCCCAAGAAATGCTTTTTGGCAGTAGTGCTTTCTTTTTCAGAAGAATCAGCCAGACATTATTGCCTTGTTTCACATTTAAGTGAGAGAGTTATGGCTAGGAAGTGTGATAAACCTGAGAGTGTGGGTCAGGATTTCATGCATTGTAGAAAGCTTATCTTTGGCTAAAGGCTTTATCTAGCTCTTTGTTAAGGATTCACTTATTGGCACTTTTGGTTTATTACAGTTAGAGCGGTAACAAGTCGGTATGTGTATAATTTGTTTAAAAGGTTTATGAAGGATCCATGCAATTTGTGCCTTCTGATAAAGGACTGGGTATCTGTGTAAGGTCACAATTTGGTCTTAATTCAACTTGTGAAGTAACCTTTTTCGAGTTCTCAGCAAAATGTTCATGCTTTTAGTTGTCTATTCAAGAAGCATTTATAGTTGGTATAACTTCAGGTTGAGGGGTTGTGAGATGTACGCTATTATGGTACATTGATAAGAGACCTGATTGTAGACTTTTACCTTAAATATATTGAGCTCCATATTAATCAGATCATAAAGTTATTGGTTTCTTCCTTGAATTTTCATTAACATTGACATGATTTAAATGTGAAAAGATTATTTTCTTTAAAAAAAAACAAACAAATTTAAGAGTTTTCATAAATCATTTACCTGCTTTACTTTGTATGATGGGAATTTCTAGATAGATTAAACAGTGTGTTCAGAAAGATTTGTAAGTTATCGGGCAGATGGTCCCCTAGATTGCCCTCTGCTAAGCTAATGATTGCATCTCTGGCATCCCATAGATGTGTCAAGATATTTATTGTACTGCAACTTGGAGGTGTGGATTCAGTCACAAAGCATTGCTTTGACCTGGTTAGATCTGATACACTTCAGCAAAGAAGTCATTGACTGTCCCTCCATACTCTGTCATATTTTAATTAAGATATCAGGTCCCTTCAGTATTGGGGTACTGCTAGCCAAACTGTCCTGTGGGTAGACATGCAGAGGATAGATGAAGAAATGAAGGCTTCTTCTAATTGAAGTTTTTCTGGTAGACTCTGAATATTCATACTCGCTGCCCACCTCCCTTTAACAACAATCTCTCTAACATGCGAGAGAGAAACTGAGGGGTTAGAGGGTACCAAGCCCACTTTCTTAGTCCTGCCACCAATGCACTCAGGAATACTGAGGGAAGGGTTAGTGGATGTGAGACCGCAGTAATGGGCACTATTTGGAGAAGGTGGTGCTACTTGATGCATGCTTATGATCGTGACTATTCGGAGGTCATCTGGAACTTTGGTTGCAACTAGCCTTTGTTTCTAAAATAATGAAAACTAATGTGGTATCTAAACGTTGTGGCATTAAGAGTAACCTTGACATTACAAAATGTAATATTTACATTTCTTTCTCTTTTATCTTTAGTTCATCTTGTTGATATCTGGAATATGATTGAAGCCTTCAGAGACAATGGCCTTAACACATTGGATCACAACACAGAGATCAATGTGTCTCGACTGGAAACAATCATTTCATCAATCTATTACCAGCTAAATAAACGCCTTCCTTCTACTCACCAGATCAGCGTGGAGCAATCCATCAGCCTTCTTCTTAACTTCATGATAGCAGCATATGACAGGTTAGTAACACGCACGCACGCACGCACGCACGAATACACCTACGTAATTTCTTAATTAAAAATATGGGCCAAAGGGTCCTCTTAATGCTACCTTGTTTTGATATTAAGCCTTGATGCCACCCTGTAACAAAGAAGGAGCTGTTGTCGGTTTATGCACATTCACCTTTATGCTTGGTTCGGCATGCCTTTCTTCCTCTCTCTCGCATTTAGAGGTTAACCAGCATCTTCTAAGACTAGTTCATAGTCTTCTCGGACAGAAGATTTTATTTCTGCAGGATCTCTCAATCACTACAGAGTTAGTGAAGTTAATTAGTATCTTCAGTTTCTTTTGGCATGTCATCTATAACCTTTCACATCATTCTTTGACTTGCTTGTTTTTTGCCATCCTACCTTTCCTTTTCTGTTCCCTTTTTTTCTTATAATAGTGCTATGACTGGGGAGCTAGTTGATCCCGTTGTGGAGTGGGTTCTCCCACTAAAACACAAAATGTAGCTTCATTTTAGAATCTCCAGTGCCTATAATGTGTGCATGGTTCAGGCTTTGACCCTTTCTTTGTCTGACACAGAGTTCAAAAGTTCCCCTAAAGAATTAGTTGCAAATATAAATGTAATAGAAAGAATGGGAGGAAATGATCATGATGTGATAGATATTCATGTTTCTAAGAAAGGGAGAAGAACAAAACAAGGATACTGGGCTTCAGATAAGTGGATTTCAACTGAAAATAATAGGTAAGATTCTAGTAAGTAAGGCAGATTAAAGATCAGGGGATCTGGGGCACTTCCTAAAGGATGTAGCTTCTTGTTGAGCCTGTAATACAGCATGATGGAAAGATATGAATAACCGAAGGAAACGGATGTGGCTACATGAGGTGCTTCTTAGTTACCCCCACCGCTAAACAAAAACATACAGACAAAGGAAAGAAGGGCAAATTACTGAGGAGGTAGACCAAGGAATAGCAAGAAAGTTTAGGGACAAAATTAGGAAGGCAAGGGTGAAAAAGGAGCTGCAACTGGCAAGGCATATTAAAAGGCAGTAAGAAGCAGCTTCATAAATATATCGGACAAAAAAGAAGGATCAAGGAAAGTGGGTCCACTGCTCATTAGTGAGGGTGAACGATTTAATGGAAGACACAAAGAAGGCACAGCTGCTGTATGACTACTGTGCCTCAGTCTGTGTACCTGTTACCAGACGGTTACAAAAGTGTATGTAAGCAAAAAAGAAGGGCTGCAGATCAGGGTATATAAAGAGTGTGTCAGCTTTCGACAAATTTTAATGAATTTAAATCAGCAGTGGTGTTTCCCTTCAGCGTCAACAGGGGTTTCCGGTATTCTGTGCCACTTGTTGCAGTCCTGTAGTTCTCTGGCCCTTTCCCAGAGTTGAATTGCTTCATTGAGTCCTTTCCCTTCAGGACTGTGCTTTGTTGCTGGAGGGTTTTGATCACCATCCCCCGTGGAACCTAGTTTAAAGCCCTCCTTGCTGGCCGGCCAGACAATGCCCAAAGATGCTCTTCCTGAGTCCTGTCTCTTGATGGCAGTCCTCCTCCCAAGAACCCCCTCCTCCTGTTGTCAAAGAAGCTGAAGCCTTCACGTTGACCCACTGTCTCGGCCACACACTAACTTCCAGGATTCAATGGTCTCTGCCTGGACCTTTGCCTCCCACAGGAAGAATTGACAGAAATACCACCTGTGCTTCAAGCTCCTTAATCCTCCTGCCAAGACCGTGCTTCCACATACTGCATGGAGCACACAAGACCGGTCCAGGCACATGCTGCATTCAGTGTCCACGTGCTTGCTCTGGGGCCAGTCCGAATAGGGCCCACAAACTGTTCTTGTGTGCCAGAGCCTATGTGCAGGACTGGTCTGGTATGGGCTCCTCATGCAGTACATGTTCAGGGCTGATCCAGGGTGTGCACTGCATGAAGTGCTCATGCCAAAACAACCCTGTGCACTGGATCCGGCGCACGGAGCCAGTCTGGGCCTGATTTGGCCCACAGACCAGCCCCATGTCTTTGTGGCCTGGAAGAGTTTGACATCCCTGATCTGAGGGTATAGTGAATTACAAACTCAAATTGAGTCATTAATGTGGTGTTAATGTTGATAAAAGAAATGCAGTTTGGAGTTTGCATTAACAGAATCATTGCATGCAAGATATATGGGAGGTGCTGGTACTATCATCCCCCATGTCTTGGATACTCATTCAGTTAGTCTTTAAAGTGCCGTCCAGTCCTGCCTCATCCCAGACTAAGATGGCTGACTACTTCTCTCTACTCAAAGAAGGATATTGAGAAACTGAGTGAGGGTACAGAGGCAAGCAATAAAGATGAAAAGGCTTTGCAATGCAAACTATACAAGGAAAAGCTGAAGGAACTAGATACGTTTACTTTGGAGAAAGGAGATGATCTAGACAAAGCAAAGCCTACGTTCTACCGTGGGTGTGTCCCATGCTTCTGGGCTTTGATGGTTGCCTCATGGAGCTGGGAGGGAGTTCCTCCCCTTGCCCATCCCTCTCTCCCTCTCTCTCTCTCTCTCTCTCTCTCTCCTTGGTGCTACTTGCCAGGATTTTTAAAAAATTTTCCTTAGAGGTATTGAAGGTTGGCTGCAGCCAAGGCTGGGGATTTTGACTGGGCTGTGCCAATGCTTCTACTGGGACCAAAGCCAGCTCCTGCTGGGACCAAAGCTTCCTGGCTGGAGGACATTGCCCCTTTGATGAGGGGTCAGACCCATCATCATGTTTGGGGTCAGGAAGGAATTTTACCCCCGGTCAGATTGATAAGGACTATGGAGATCCTTGTCTTCCTCTGTAGCAGGGGGCATGGCCCTCTACCCGGGATCTTTTGAGTGTATATTGACTACAGTTTATAGAAGCAGGACATTGCCTGCCGTGGTTCCCCTGCTTTCTCTGTGGCAGGTTAGTGTGTTATGTCCATGTTGTGTCAGGGTTGATGGTAATCTTATGTAGAATTTAGATTACAGGTTGTATGGGATGGTTTGGATAGGGGTGATCCTGCCTCAAGCAGGGAGTTAGACGAGATGTGACCTCTGGAGGCCCCTTCCAGCCCTACTTCTCTGGGATGTTCTTTCATTTCCGAAGCTTGGTGCTGAGGGCCCCTTGGCTGGCACTGATTTGACTTTCCATCATCGTGTTCCTGTGTCCTAGCTCTGGGTGAAGCCTCAGACTTGGACGAAGTGGTCAGTGCCATGTTAGAAGGACGTAACCTTCTGTTCAGGAAGCTATCAGTTGTTAACAATGTTATTAATATTTTTTCATTTTATTGTGGTAGCTTGGAGGACATGTCATGTACTGGAAGCCCACTCTGCTAGGTACTATTAGAAATACAGAACAAAATAACAGTCCCTGCAGCCAGAAATGGCTTATTTACACTGAGCCATTACAGTGAAGTTAAGCGAAGGCATGCAATTGCAGCACACCCAGCTGTTTTGCAGAAACTACTCATGTTGACACTCAGTGCACAGTAATAGTGAAGTAGCTTACTTGACTTTACTTTAATGTCCTCATATACACAAGTCCAAACTCACAATCTGAAGAATTGCAAAGAACCCACTTTTGAAGATTTTAGTATTCCATTGGTAGAGGTCATTTATGATCTGATAATGTTGCCTTTTCATCACAAAGCATATTCATATGATTTCACGGAGAACAAAGCTCATGTCTCCTTGCAGAACTTCGCTCAAGGATTCAAGAGGTAGTGCTAGGATAGGGAACGTATTGATTCTAGTCAAATAGCCCGGACAACCTATCATTGCCTCTGACTAAACATCTGTGATGCAGTCTTTGAGCGTGGAGATGAAGTCTCTTCTATGGAGTAACCTAGGTTGCTCCCCTCTTAAAGCAGTTCCGCAACCTGGCAGTTGACGTGCTTATGCTGCAGCTCTTCATCTGGCTGCTCGCCTCTCAGTTACTAGGCCACTACCTAGCTGTTGTAATGTATTATAAAGCAGTGCCTGTTTTGAACAATTATTTCTTATTGCTCCTGAAACTTGCTTTCATCCATGAGTTTCCATCCCGTTCAGATATGCTTGGTTATCCCCAAGGACATTTCCAAGGTACAAATGGCAAGCTGTCATTTAACTCTCATTGAAAATCCCTTGTGATTTTGAAAATCTCCCTCTTGGCTAGCACTAATTACATTTCATGTACTGTGTCACTATACTGCCCATCTTGTTGTAACTAATCTACATAATTTATTTGCATCATTGCCACTTAAATTTGTTTTTCATTTCCTTTTCCCTTTGTACATTAGCTTATGTTTTCTAAGCTGCTGTATCATATCTATCAAGTATTGTACTTACTATGGAACAGAGATTTCATATTTTTATTTGGGATTAAAGAGTTCAATATTCACACCTTTGTCATCCACACTTACATGTCTGCCACTGGTACTCTATTTATGCTTACTTGCTACTAAAGTAATTCCCTGTAACACTTCACACTAGTAGTGGTTTTGTTCTTAGACCCAACTGTGCTGTGGAGCCTGTTTAATCCTCTGAATTGCAGATTATTGCTTGCATTTCACCTTTCTGAAAAACAATTTGTGCCTTTTTACAAAGGATCCCTTATGTGGTTATTTCTAAATGCCACGGCTGGGCAGAATAAAATCTTTTCATACTTTTTCTATAAGAAATTAATTAATTTCTCATGCCGACATTAGGAAATGGTTGCCTGATTGTGCCATCTGTTCCCAGTAATATAACAGCCTTGGTAGCTTAAATTAGAAAAACGTGCCATCCATGTTGGTTCCTGTTTTACATGGCGTGCCCAGAATATCCTGGAACTTTCACCAAGCAATGAGTTACTTTACCTCCTGTTTCAGCATATTAGTTCTTGAGTATCCTTATTCTGGGAAGTAAGCGTTGAATATTCCCAACTCATTATTCTTGCCACTGGTAGAAGCAAGAAACCTGTCGTAATGAGTGAGCATATTCTGAACTGTTTCAGAAATGTCGCAGCAGAATGCGATTTATCATTAGATACCTATTAGCTGTTCTAATTTATTTAAAATACCAAGTGTTACTATTTTTATGCTTATTAAATATTAAATACTTTAAAAATTAATGGTATTAAGAGCTAACACTAATGTGTTCCCTTCATGGCCCTTAAAGATTTTTTCTGTTTGTTTTCATTCCATATAGTAATTATTTTATCATGTAATTTCTTTACAGTGAGGGCCATGGGAAGTTGACGGTATTTTCAGTTAAAGCTATGTTAGCAACCATGTGTGGTGGGAAAATACTGGACAAACTAAGATGTAAGTACTTCTAAGCAAATCAAACCATTATTTGAAAAATTCTGTTTCTAGTGTGGATCTCACACACTTTTATATTTCAACTGTTTTAAAACTTAATTATTCTTGCTCTGAACATTCAGCATTTGTTATATTGGAGTGAATTTTTCTTACTTTTTTTGGTAATGTATGCCATCTGCTGGCCATAAAAAAAATACTGAGGGTTTTGTTTTCATTGCAGAAGTATAGGTTTTCAGTGACCTTAAAATATGCATTTCTGTAATTTCAAATACTTTTGCGTTTCTTTAAACATATAATTTTGAATTTTGTGAATATTTCTAAATTAAGCCTTGCCTCATCCTGACCTGAGGATGGTGAAGCCACTCCTGGCTTGGCTGCCCTGTCAATCCTGCCTTCCTGGGATTTCACACGTCTCCTGTTTTCTTTCCATTGCTATTCTTTCTCTTCCTTTTCCATTCCTTGCATTCTTGACCTCTAGTTCTGTACAAAAAGAATTAACACCATTCGTTACTATTCCACTGGTACCTTGCTGTAAGGGGCGCAAACTAGTCCTGCATCCTCCCTGCGTCCACTCCAATTCCTTTTCCTTGCCCAAATGGCTACTTGCTTTCTGCTTCCTGCCCTGTCTGCCACCCTGCTGTCTGTCCCCTCCCAGATCTGTCATGTGCCATTTGTGGCACGTGCTGGAGGTTGGTCACCCCTTCTACAACTGAAGCTCGACTCTTTTCTCCTGACTGTTCCTTAATAACAACATAGTCATTTTAAGTCATTTAATTTTCTTTCCTTTCCACCCTAACTACTTGGGGAGATAGTAGGGTAGGCAATGCCAGGCTCTTACTCTCCCATTTTAAATCTATGAACAAATCGAGTTCACCTTCTATACAGTGCCTGTTTCTGAAGGGCTCGAATCTTCCTTCTGCTGTTTCTTTCAGTTCTGTTGATGACTATTCCCTCTGCCCAGGTTTTCCTTTTTTTCTTTAACTCTGGACTAAACTTTCTTTTCTCTTCTCTGGACAAGGTTCTTCACCTTGTTTTCACCAAATGCAGTTTCTATTTTTTTTTCATGGACATGCCCGTATTTTGATATCCATCATTCCTCATCTGATGCTCTCTGCCCTGGCGTGCATTACTACTTCTGTGAACTTCGCTCCAAATCCTGGCTTCCTTATTCCTTTCAAATAGTGCATTTCCTCACAGATGTCACCCATTCTGACTTTCTACCCACGGGGCATCATTCTCAAAAGTGCCTGCTTACTTATATGGTTAACTCCTTAAAAATCAACTCCTCAGCTTTCAAATACGTTTTCTCCATGCTAGGTTCTTTCACGTCCCTGCTTGGTCTGTTCAGGCCAATCCTAAGTACTGATTCTTCCTTCCATCTGTTCTTCTCATTTGTTTTTTTGAGAAATTAAGAAAATTCAGGGACCATCCTGATTTCCTTTGTTATTCCTCCATCATTCCTCTTTCCTTCTGTTCTGTCATATACCATATCTTTCTAAGCAAATGCTATTTTCCATTGCAGTTGACTCATATCACAGCTCATGCCCCCTGCCCCTGCTCTTAGCCCAAGATCTTGCCAATATCTCCATAGCAAATATTGATGCCATCTGGCATGAGCTTTCCTCCTTTCTATCCCCATCTGCTCCACGTTTTCCCTTTGCTGATCTCCATTTAGTCTCCATTCTTCCCCTTCTGTTCATTGTTACTGTTCATCACCTGGATCCTTTTCTTTAACATTTAGATACTCCACTGCCTTATCCAGATTAAAATATCTTGTTTCCCCTCTTTTATCCAACCCCGACTTGCCTCTCTGTTTACCCTTGCCCTTCTTGCTTTTGCTGTGGCTCTCCAATGGGCAGTCTGCTCTTACTGCCTTCGAGTGTTTTTGCAAGTGAAAGCATTAAGGAAACAAATCAACTCGGTCCTTTCAGAGGTCCAGTAAAAATCATTTTCGATTTGGCTTATTTGCAAACATTTAAAAACGTATAACAACTTGTAGCACACGTATAGATTCATAGATGTTAGGGTTGGAAGAGACCTCAGTAGGTCATCGAGTCTGACCCCCTGCCCTGGGCAAGAAAGAGCGCTGGGGTCAGACGACCCCAGCCAGGTGCTTGCCCAGGCTCCTCTTGAAGACCCCAGGGTAGGGGAGAGCACCACCTCCCTTGGGAGCCCGTTCCAGATTCTGGCAACCCACACTGTGAAGAAGTTATTTCTAATGTCCAACCTAAATCTGCTCTCCATCAATTTGTGGCCGTTGTTCCTAGTTACTCCAGGGGGTGCCCTGGTAAATAGAGCATCTCCTATTCCCTGCTGCCCTCCCCTGATGAATTTATAGGCAGCCACAAGGTCACCTTTCTCTCAGCCTTCTCTTGCAAAGGCTGAAGAGATCCAGGTCCCTCAGTCTCTCCTTGTAGGGCCTTGCCTGCAGGCCACTGACCATATGAGTGGCCTCCTCTGGACCCTCTCGAGATTCTCCGCATCCCTCCTGAAGTGCGGCGCCCAAAACTGGATGCAGTACTCCACCTGCGGCCTGACCAGTGCTGCACAGAGGGGGAGGATCACCTCCCTGGACCTGGTTGTCATGCATCTGCTAATACACGATAAAGTGTGGTTAGCCTTGTTGATCACTTCGTCACACTGACGACTCACGTTCATCGTGGAGTCAACCATGACTCCAAGATCCCTTCCTGCTTCTGTGCTGCTGAGAAGGTCCTTCCCCAGCCTGTAAGTGTGTTGGTGATTCTTTTTCCCCATGTACAGCACTTTGTATTTGTCTTTGTTGAACTGCATCCTATTTTGTTCTGCCCATTTTTCCACCTGTCCAGATCCACCTGGATCCGTTCCCTACCCTCTGTTGTGTTAACTTTGCCCCATAATTTTACCCCTCAGCCAATTTACCACCCCTGACCATGTAATCATCTACATCACAGCTGCTCAGTTTATTTATGAGAACGGAATGCGATACCTCATCGATGGCCTTCTTAAAGTCTAGGGAGATGACCTCTACCTCGACTCCTGCGTCTAAGCGTTTTGTGTCAGGCAGGATCTACCTGCAGTGAACCCATACTGATTTCCTTTCAGCATTAGTTCCCCTGCTGGGCTCCCACAAATGTGATCCTTCATGATTTTTTCCAGAGTTTTCCCGAGGATGGGGGTGAGGACACAATACACGTCCTCAACAAACAGCATGGGGTCAGAGGAGGGGCAGACTGAAGTGCTCTGGGTCAGAATACAAGGGGGTCAGGGGGAAAGGAACTTAGTGGTGGGGGTCTACTACAGACCACCCAACCAGGGGGAAGAGCTGGACTGGGAATTCTCAGGTCAGCTCGTGGAGGCAGTTAAGTCAAGGGACGTGGTCATCATGGGTGACCTAAACTATCCAGACATCTGCTGGGAAGAGCAGTCAGCCAGGTCAGACCCCTCACGTAGGTTCCTAGCCGAGATACAGGACCTCCATCTAACCCAGAAGGTGCATAGTCCCACCAGGGGAAATGCCTTGCTGGACGTGGTCCTGGCCACAGGCGATGACCTGGTAAGGGAATTGCGGGTTCTCGACCACCTGGGTGACAGCGATGATCGCCTGCTGGAATTCACCATCCAGCGCAGGGTGTCAAAGGCCTGCAGCAAGGCAGCAGCCCTGGACTTCAGGAGGGCGGATTTCAATGAGTTAAGGAGACTAGTCAGGGAGGAACTGAGGTCCTGGAGGGTAGAGGAGTTGGGAGTCCAGGAAGAGTGGTCGTTCCTTAAGGAGATGATCCTTCGAGCCCAAAGGGTGACAGTCCCAATGAGAATCAAAGGGGGCAGGAGTGCTCGGAAGCCCCCATGGCTCACCAAAGGCATTCAGGAACGCCTGAAAGATGAAAAGGAGGTGTACACCCAGTGGAAGGGAGGGGCTATCACCAAGGAGGAATATACCTCCATTGTTCGAGACTGTAGCGGGACTATTAGGAAGGCTAAGGCGGAGACGGAACTGGGACTAGCGACCCAGATCAAAGATAACAAGAAGTCCTTTTTTAAATACAAAGGCGGTAAAAAGAAAGCACTGGGTAACGTGGGGCCCCTGCAGGACACACTTGGCAATCTGGTGGTTGCACCAGATGGTAAAGGTGACCTCTTTAACAAATTCTTTGCCTCCATTTTTCTGAGCAGGTACTGGGACATCCCCACCACTGGGATTCAGGACGGACTCAGGAGAGGCACAGCCAGGCCCAGGGTCAGTGAGGATCTAGTTAGGGAACTTCTGGTGGGGCTGGACGTGGTCAAGTCAGCAGGTCCAGATGATCTCCACCCCAGAGTGCTGAGGGAATTAGCAGAGGACATTGCGGGACACCTGGCACGGCTTTACGAGCACTCGTGCTGCTCTGGCCAGGTGCCAGAGGACTGGAAAAGGGCCAGTGTGGTCCCCATTTTCAAAAAGGGGAGGAAGGAGGACCCAGGAAACTATAGGCCTGTTAGACTTACCTCAGTCCTGGGCAAGCTCTTCGAGAGAATTATCCAGGAGCACATCTGAGAGGGGCCAGCAGGGGAGGTTATGCTTAGGGGCAATTAACATGGGTTTATTAGGGGCAGGTCCTGTCAGACCGACCTGGTGGCCTTCTACGACCAGGTCACAAAATCCTTCGACGCAGGTGTCGCGGTGGACGTAGTCTTTCTGGACTTTAGGAAGGCCTTCGACACTGTCTCTCACCCCATTCTCATTTAAAAAAACTAGGAGACTGTTGCATTGACGCCTACACAGTCAGATGGGTTGCCAGTTGGCTGGAGGTCCGCACCCAGAGAGTGGTGGTGAATGGGTAATTTTCGCCCTGGAGGGATGTGGGCAGTGGGGTCCCCCAGGGCTCAGTCCTCAGGTCTGCACTGTTCAACATCTTCATCAGCGACTTGGACACAGGGGTGAAAACACCTTGTTCAAGTTCACAGATGGCACTAAGATGTGGGGAGAAGTGGGCACGCTAGAAGGGAGGGACAGGCTACAACTAGATCTGGACAGGCTGCAGGGG